CTAAGAAAACTGTTCCTTTAATGTGTGGGTGTGGTACAACGACGACTTTATTCTACAGAAAGTTGAATCTGTCCTGACATTCACTGCAGTAGCCTGGATTGGGAACCTTAATACACACAATTAAAACACTGAGCAGGATAGTGAAGGCTCATGTTCAACCCAGTTTCATGTGCCACAGAACCAAGTTGTTTCAACAGCTATTAAGCTGCTTAACTTGTTCAATTGATGGAATGTTTTACTTTATAAATTTCGATTTTCTTCCTCATCACACAGGTGTGCCTCTTATTTGCTCACGGGTCCCCGCTGTGTGAAATGTATCGTGTCGCGCCTCTTACCTGCCTGCAAAGCAAACCCCCTCTGCGGCAGTGGGAGGAAGGACGCTGGAGCGCGCGCCGGCTCTTACCGTTGTGCAGCAGGAAGCGGACGGCTGGCAGGTGCCCGCGGTGTGCGCTGATGAACAGTGCCGAGAAGGCGCGGCGAGCCTGCCACGCTGTCATCTCGGGGGCAGCCCCACAGTCCCGGGACGCACACAGACTGCTCCCCCTTGGCAAGAGAGACTGGAGCTGCCACACACACACACAGAGAACCAGCTTGATCCTCAGGACGCGGAGAAGCAGCAGCTCTCTGGAACCGCGGATCTGGAGTTTTCCAGGATCCGGTTATTTTATCATTGTGAAATCATCCACTTACTGCATTACGCCAGCAAAACGATTACTACTAAACACTACACTTCCTGGCTTTTCTAAGCATTTGGCAGGTGCTTTGCATGCTAAAAGAGCAGTTACAGCCACCATGCCAAAGATTTATTCAAACCAACAAGTTCTGTGAAGAGGCAATATACCCAGTGAATTAACAATGTGTGAAAGGAGCATTGAAACCGACAGTATCAGCAATGCAATGAACGCTATTCAGAACAAGTCTACTTCCAGGAAACAGATCCGTTCTGATGCAGCTGAAAACAAGGTTTAAAATCCAATAAGCATTAAACAGCTAATACACAGAAACTAAGGGGATGTGTATTTAATGCTGATAACAGGAGGCACTTATTTACACAAAGGGTTGTGGGAGCCTGGAACAAGCTACACAGCTGATGTTGAAGCTGATACCTTGGCTGATTTCAATAAACTGCAATTACCTACTTTAAAGTGCGCCCTAAATTGTAAGGCTGTTTTGTAATTAAATGTTAAACATCGGAGCTACAGATTGGTCAATTTCACCAGGTCTGGTGCCCCAGTCAAATCGAGCATCGTCGTGGAAGGCGTCTCTTGTCCAAGGGGGGCACCAAAGTACACTGCTCTCTTCCTGACAAGGGCCCCCCGACACCCCCGGGTGGGGATCTGAGGAAACGGGAGCCAGTTCGAGGAGGAGCGATGAGGGCTGGTGATATCAGCGGAAGGAGTGACCCTACGGCATTCTAACTATGCGCTCCTCCTTGGCTCGGCTCTGACACGCCCCCTCATGCGAGATAATACTCCGCTGACTAGTTTTTGGCTGGTAATGTTTAGGACCTACATGTCTTAAGCCATCTCATACTAACACTTGTTTAATGCTGTTAACAGAAGCATATCATCTCTCATAAAACACTGCCTGCTTTTCAAAATGCCCATAATCACTTTGCATTCATGTTTTGATCAGTTTACCAAGCAATTATAGACGTAAAGGGGCGCATAGTCCCTGATCTACAGTGTCTGCTTCTCGTGTCATTGTGTGTGAAGTGCCTTTTTTAAAAAAAAGCGCAGCCTTCAAGTGCAACATCCATGTTTATATTCAGCAGCAACACATTCAAACTAGGTGGTTGTTGTTGTTTTGTGTTCAGGGCTTTGGACATGGTCTGGCTTGAAAGTGCCCGGGTCAGAGAAGAGCTCTGCAGAAACACGGGTCCTGGGGGTGGACGCGCCTGCTCCCCGACGGCACGAATTACCCTCGGAACGTCCCCAGCTGCAGCAGCCCGCACCAGCTCCGCCCAGCCGCCCTGGCGCCACACCGTCAGGGTGACCGTGCCGCCCGGGACCACGTCGTTGAACCTGAGGGTGGACTCGTCCGGCATGTCGCCTGTCGGGGGAGGGACAGCCCTTAGTCCGGGTGTGACTCGTGCTGCAGTCGGACCGCGACAGAGCGACAGCACTGTAACTGCGACTGCAGCGGTTTCCTGGAAAAAGCGATCTTGTCCGGGGTCCTGTGCCTTTGCTCGTGTGCATGGGCTTACAGTCGCCGGCCGTCTTTGGTGCAGACTTGACGGATTTTCACGTTTAGATGTACCAAACGCATATCCCCCTCGTGAGGAGTGAAGTGTACTGCGCTCCTACATACACGAGCTGTATTTAAACGGCCAGCCTCGCAGCGCTGCACGGACGGACATCAGGAGGCGGATGGACTGAGCCCCAGCGCTCGTCCACACCTGGTGTCCTATCTGTTGCCCGCTTGCGACCTTTGAAGAAACGGAGCGCCGTGGTCGACTGTCCCGCCCCGTCTCTTATTAGCAAACCATGCTATTTAAATTCTGTTTCCAAACCCACCCCCCCACGCACCGATGACACGTACTGGTGCACTAATCTGTGCACTTGTCACGAGCCACAGTGCTTCCTAATTACGTGCTTTTGTCCACGAGAGGCCGGGTGAGGCGGCGAGGAGCGCGCAGGATACGTGAAAACGCATTACAGTGCATAACATCATCATCATTATATATATATAACTCGTGAAAATCGAGATTAAAGCACTATGAATAACGTAGAGTGACCAGACATCCTCTTTCTCCCGGACATGTCCTCTTTTTGAAATCTAAAATATCGGTCCGACCGGGAATTATAAAATTCCAAAAACTGTCAGGGATTTTGTGTTGCTCGTTGCTAAGACTGTGTAAACAAACATAGGCCGGCGTGTTTTCGTTCGTTCCACGCATTACCGGTAGAAAAGGGGTTTTGTGTGTGTGTTTGTTTGGCTGTTTCTATGGTCATGACAAATAATGTTTAACTTATTTCATTATATTTCAAAATGTTTCGTTAAAACTGATAATTTTTGCAACCAATGAGGACTTCTCCTAAGTTATGATGTCTTCATTTTTTCCTCAGATGTTTAGACTTTTGTTGTGTTAAAATGTAAAAAATAAATGGTTTTACATTTTTCCTTGTTTGCCATTATGGAAGAGAAATAGCAACCCTGCAACTGTTTAAAAGTTATCTAAGAAGTTTAATAAAAACTAGAGTTTGAATTGATTTTAAAGTAATATTCATGGCATGGGTCGAGTGTCGATTATCGCCCCCCCTCTTTTCAAAAAAACAAAATATGGACAGCCTAGAATAACTGTATTGTAATAGTACATCATCTTTAAAGAGGACCCCATGCATAGGAGAAGTTTTCTCATTTGACTTATTCGTGAGACCCTACCTTCGTCCAGGTAGGACAGCCGCTGGAATTCCGTGGGGATTCCTGCCACGAGCTCCAGTGCCGTCTTCAGCTCCTTGACCCGGGTGCCGGCCCGACACTCCGCCACGCTGTACAGCTCCCCCGTGTCCCGCAGCCGGACCCGCAGGCCGAACGGGCCGCCGGCGTGCGAGTCCTTGTCCGGCGTCACGACCGCCGCCGCCGCCTTCGCTGCCCGGCGGGAGTCCCGTCTCGGCGCGGGCTGGCTGGGAGCCGCCATGGCCGTGTGCGGTCCCAAAACAGAGCCAATCCACAAACGCCACTTCGTTATTTGCCCGGCGCTAGCTCCTGCTGCACCTGCAACGCTCGGGGAAGGGGGGGACCGCTGCGGAACCACCCGGTCCGTGTGGCCTGCTGCCCCGTGTTGTGTTTGGGAACACCAAGGTAACGGGGCTTTCGTGTGGTGCGGTTTTCACCAGCGGCGCTCGGGGCTTCACAGAGGCCATTCGACTGAGTGTGACGTAACCCCCACAGCGAGTCTTGACCGGGCGCTCTGCCCCGTTGGACCCCGCCGCGGTGCTAATTAACAAAGCAGCTCTTACCCCTGCGGCACAGGCGGGGTGTATCAGGTCGTCGTGTCCGAGGCTGAAATTATTTTGTTGTTCGTCCGGCACCGCGCGCAAGAAATGCTGCATTACTTTAATTAGACACTTCAGGGGTGGTCCTTTACTGTCCTGTACAGTTGCTTCTCCTAATGAGTTTTAAATTTCACAATTTCTCCTGTGATTTTATTTCTAGCACTGACACCCCACCCCAATCTAAACTGGGTCAGTAAGCAGAACTGAACTACCATTCTGCTGTGATGACTACCTGCTACTCAACGGCACAAGAATCAAATAACCTTTAGATGAAGGTGCAAAACATCTGCTTCTGTGTATCGTGGCTTAAATAGAAATCGGCGTTAGCTTGATGTAATCAAGTCATTACACTGGTTCCCAGAGGTTATTTTCAAACGAAGTCCGAGACCTGTTTCATAATATAATAACAACAGCTTCCTAACACACCTTCTAAAACTGCGCTGTTGCTTACTCTACACTTTCTAAACGTTCTTGCTGTCCGTATTGCTCAGCTCAGGAAACAGCTGAAAGCTTCATTAAGTTAAATTCAGAGGGGGTAAAACTAAACAAAATATTCCCTTATCAACAACAAAATTTATTTCAAACGTGTCTTACTGCTGATTTGCAACTACCTGCATTTCAAATACAGGAATACTTTGCAACAGTATTCCCCAAGATCCTGAACAGTCTGAAAGGATTTAATATTTTTCTTTCACAGAGAGAACCAACAATTTAATAATCACTGAATACTAAAAAAACAACTGCAAAACCCTGGAAACTGCAAATATACAAAATCTTTGAAATCCATAAACAAGGTACATTAATACAGAGAAAATCTGATTTCATAAAATATTTATAAACATTTCTATCACATTAAAAAAGAGAGGACGAACAGTGAGGACAGAGAGATGAGATCTCTTGGCTTTACAGTGAGCGTAGTCACGGACAGCAGGGCCATTTTGCGAACCCGGGTTCGACAGTGACATCAGCACGCTTGTTTTGAGTCTAATGCCTGCTGACGGAATGACCTGCTGCACATAACAACAAATCCACAACTACAATCTAAAAAAAGAAACGTTTTTGGTGACTCCATGTCCACATGCTTCCTGCTAGTGCCAGGCTCTGCCTCTCCACTGCAGCTGCTAAGTGCCATTCCTCAGATTCAAAGCAAGATCCAGGGACACCTGCGACGTTCCGGATCTCTAGGCTCTTGCTGTTCCCTCTCGCTGCCCAGCTGGCCCAGCGGAAAAGCAGGAGGAAGCCAGGCTTGTCCCTGTGCCACTCGGCTTCCGCAAACAATACTTCCAGTTCGAGTGAAGGTCCTGACCTGCCACCTGCGTGATGGCCTGCACACACCTGAGCGGCTCTTGGCCGTCTCCCGCCTTCCCATGAGCCCCCTCTCGCAGCCCAAGGGCTTGGGGCGAGATGAGGGCGCCGACCGTTCCTGCCATTGGTCACCTCTAACTGCGCTCCAGCACCCCCCCCACAGCAGAACGGGGTGCGTCTCAGCCCAAGATGGGAGTCACTGGTTGGAACACCTACAGGCTTGTCCCCCTGTGAGCTTCTCCTCCGTCCTGTGACACACCTGTAATGGGCGAATGTCCTCCCTCCACTGGGGTAGGACCAGCATTCTCCACACAGGAACCCATCGCCATCGCCAGCCCCACCCTCTCTGTGGAACTGACTGACCCAGGTCAACAGGTGGACACAGGGCCTTTCTCCCCAACAGAGGGACGGAGGCGGAGCTCTCGCACGACGCGAGGGCCTGGAAATGCGTCTTTGACAACAAACAACAAGGGTGTCTTTCTCAAGCCCCGAGAGCGAGCGGAGAGAGAACGATCAGATCTCGGTTCACGGTCAAGGCGAAGTGCAGAAGGAGGGCGCGTGGGGGCAGTGGTCGTGCGGAGAGACGCGGGCTGCAGTGCTTAACGAACGCATGCTCCTCCGCTGCGGGGGGCTGCAGGGTGGGACTCAGACACAGTCCCTGGCAGACGAGCTACTGGTGAGAAAATCAGTCCCCCTGAGTGTCGTTTATACCCGTTTTCTCATTTTCCTACTCATACACTACAAAGTGACGTTTAAAAAAATCCAGCTAAAAAAAAAACACAGTACGTTGAGAGAGCCTGTTGCTGGACCTCCAACAGAGCTGCACGTGTGTCTGTCCGACCTGTGGCTGGACGCTGCAGCCGAGAGAGAAAGAGAGGTGCGCACACTGTTCATCCCCTGCGGTCAGGAGGCCGGGCTTCCTCTAGCGCGGGCTCACGGGCGGGCCTGCCCCTCTGCCCCCTTCCCCGTGCTCTGTCTTCGAGCAGGCCGCCCCCCGCGCTAGAGAGGAAGGGGGCAGTCTCGTGGGCCGGCCCACAGGGCGAGGAGACGCAGGAAGAGGAAGAGGCCGAGGAGTGAGGGGGGCTGGCAGGAGCCAGGAGCCAGGCGCCAGGCGCCAGGGTGGGGCGCTGGTGTGTGCTGCTCCATTCTGCTGGTGACCGGCCTCGGGGGCGCGCCTAGATTAAAGCCGTCGTGTCCGGGGGGCTGCTGCTGGGCTCCAGGCTGGCGAAGAAACGCACGTCCCTGTCGCGGTCTGCCTGCAGGGACATCACCGTCTCCTCCAGGGCGTCTGCGTAGGGGCTGCGGGGGTCCTTGAAGAACTCTGCCCGGGAGACAGGGAGAGAGCCAAGCACAGCGTCAAGACGGAGCCCTGCGCCTGTGTTCTCATCAAGCCCGCAGCGCGGCGCACAGCCTCTCAGCACAGCACTGCGCCGCTTGTGTGAAAATCCCAGAAGCACCGCGTGTCTGAAGTGCCCTCTGACCTTTCTGCAGCACCGTCTGCCGCAGTGCCTTGGCCACCAGCACCCGCACGTTGGCCACGGGGTCCGACGACAGGCCCAGCAGGCTGGGGAGCAGGTGCTGGGCAAACTGGTCCATTGGGAGGTAGTCGTCCTCGGCGGCCACCTGCGGGGCAGAGAACCAGGCAGAGCGGGTGGGTGAGGGGCCTGCGTCCCGCGGCGCGGGGGCCGGGGGGGCGACGGCGCGGAGAGAGGGGCCGGCCGCTCACCTGGCAGATGAAAGCGAAGGCCTGGCGCCCCACCCACTTGGGGCTGCGGCAGAACCGGGCGACGAGCTCGTCGATGAAGTTCTGGCCCAGGTCGTGGCCCCCACTGGCGTACAGTTTCCGCAGGATCTCCGCCACCTGGCCGACACACAGCACCGCGTTCAACACGCCGCCCGCTCGGACTCCGCACTGCCCCTCCTCCCCAGACCCCGGTCCGCCCACCGAGCTCCGCCCTCGCTTATCTGGACAGGCTGAAGCCTCTCCTTGTCCTTCAGAGAGCAGGATTTAACAAGAGCTGTTCAACCTGAGGACCTGAGGCCCTGAGGGCCAGTAGTCGGGCCTGTTTAGGGTGCCAAACTCAGTTAAAAGGCAGACTCGGCACTTCTCGTTTATTCTAACTGTGAGCATGAAAAAAAACAATCGAAATCCACACGTAGGTGACCGTACTTGGTTTTATAAATCTGGTTTGCCATCATTATTGAATTCAACACAGCAAAGTGCCACCTGAAGCAGAGTCCCCAAGGGAGTTAAAGTCTCCACAGCCTTGTCCTCTGCCTTACCAGCCTGTAGGAGATCCATCGCACTTCGGCCACCTTGTCCGAGCAGAGGGTCAGGGCTATCTGCCGGAGGTAGTCGTACACATCACCAGCGCTGTACAGCTCCACGATCAGGATCAGCTGCCTGGCAGGAGACAGTCATCAGCACACACTGTACTGACACTGTGTGTTAAAATGATGATGCTATAGAAATCTGAGCTCCCACAATTCCTCCCTCCCTTCCCTCTCCCATTGTCCCCTAGGACATCAGCTGTGAAAGTCACCTCCTGGGTACTGATGAACGTTCACAGCTGATGTCACAACTGTGAAATCACAGTTCTAGATGACCTGAAGATCAGTCATTTTAAAGAGCACAACTTGCTCTGTTTTCAGTTGTCTGTACTAACAATGGAGTCATTTGAACAACATTTGTGCTGGACAGGGGCATGATACTCTGATGGAGGCATGTAGCAGTTCTCATCGGGGCAGTGGCTGAACACTTGGCATGCTCCTATCTGCTCAGACAGGGAGACTCACCGGGGGCGCCACACGCCTTACTGACTGGGTTAAGGCTCACTCGGGGACCTCGCGTCTGATTCTACAAAAACGGGTGGAGTTTGGATCCGATTTGAGACGGGGAGTGTGCTCCCCCAGGGTGCTCTTATCTAACTGGACAGTGGGGCGGATCCAGTGTGACTGGACATGAGAACACTCACTCGGCCAGCTCGTATCTGAAGCGCCAGTTGCGGCTGTTGTCCGTCACCATGAACTCCTGAAGCTGGTACAAGTACTCCCTGCGCTTGTCTGCGTGTAGCAGCTGGAACACACAGCAGAAAGCACAGACCTCTCAATACAAAGCAGCCAGACCAAGCCAGTCAACACACATTAAGTTGATACGGGTCATTTAACAGAAATGTAGAAAATGCGGGCCAGTTTGAATATATTTGGAAAAGCACAATTTGGCACGGGCCGTTCATTCTGAGGTAATTAGCGCAGCCTTGTGAGCAGAGACCGGCCAAGCTCTCACCTTGAGGAAGTCGTACAGGTGTTTGAGCACGCCGATGCGCACCTCGTCCAGGTCCTTCAGGAAGCCGTTGAAGATCGGAACCAGGTCGGCTGCGGTCAGCTGGTCCCCCAGGATCACTGCCAGCTCGTGGATGGAGAACGCCAGGGTCCTCCGTACTTTCCACTGGGGGGAGGGAGACGGAGAGAAGCCGAGAAGGGAGAAAGGGGAACAATTGAGCACCTCAGGTCAAGCGCCTCGGAGGCCAGCTGGAACCCTGAGCAGACAGAGACCCGCCTGGCCCAGACGAAGGTGTGCTGACCTGCACGTCTGTGGCCAGGGTCTCGTAGGTGTCCCTGAGGCAGTGCCAGTTCTGCCGGCCCAGTGTGAGCGCCACACCGGGCAGGCTGAAGGCACAGTGCTTGGCGATCTCGGTGTCCACGGTCTGCGCCCGGGCCGGGTCCGTCATGGACAGGTACTGGTCCAGCAGCTGCTGAGGGATCACGTCCTGGCAGGGGTTGGGGCAGAGGGGGAAGAAAAGACCTGTGGCATCAAGCGGGCACTGTGCCATCCCACAGCAGCGCCGTGCTGGGCGACCCTGAGACCCTGCTGCTCCACTGAGACTCGTCCACACACACACCCTCTTCGAGCTGAGGCAACAATTCAGCTGATCGGGAAATATAGTGCCGTTGCCTTTAAGCAAAATTCCACGACAGCCAAATCACAGTGCTGCAGTGTTCCTGGTTTAATAAGGAAGGAGCTGCAGTTCTGATGTCATAGACCTACAGGGCTCTGGATGTACCCTTCCTGTTGACTGCTGGGCGAAGCCTGCCAGACTGTGCAGACAGAGGTGTGTGGACTGACCTGGACTTTGGATTTCTCCTCCTCACAGAGCAGGCTGAGACTGGGGTCTCTCTGCATCTCCTCCATGGTCTCTATCAGCTGCGGCGCCCTCTCCTGGCAGAGAGAGGAGAGACAGAACAGAGCCTCAGGACGGAGAAGACACTGCTCTGAGCTACCCCAGCGGAGTGGGGCGGGCCGTTACAGAGCTGAAATCCACACTCGGATGGAAAATGTGTTTTTTCCTTTGATTGAATACTAAATTATTATTAAATATTAAAATACTACAGCTGAATTGTTTCGTTCTTTTTGGTACAACTATCTTTGGCTCACCCGTGTAACAGGACGTACTTGTTTCAGGCAAACCGGTGAATGACTGGTTATCTGCTATGAAAAAAGCACCTGTCTAGAAATGGATACATGTTGCAGGACGGCCTAACTCTGCTGCATCTTCCTTCTAGAACACAAGGGTCATGTCAATGAACACAAAACACGGCTCTGCGGCTCTGCAGAGTGAGCTCACCGTGTCACCACAGCTGACCGGGGAGGCCTGTGGGCTCGGGGCAGGTTCGATCTGGCTCTGAGCGGGGCTGTGGGCCGGTGCTGGGGCTGGGGCTGGGGCTGGGGCCGGTGCTGGGGCCGGTGCTGGGGCCGGGTCCGGGTCGATGGCAGGGGCAGCTGGGGGTGGCGACGGGTCAGGTGCTGGCTGCGCGCCCCCTTTGCTGGAGTCCTGACCAGCCTGACCGCCCTCCGCTGCCTCCTCCTCTGACTGACTCTCCAGCTGGGCTGCCTTCAGGGCGGCCGACAGCACCTCCACCTGGGCTAAAGTGGAGAGGTGAGCACAGGTGAGGAGGGTGGCTCAAGGCAGCCCTGTGCACAGACACTCATGCACAGACCCTCAGGCACACTCGTGCACAGGCACTTGTGCACAGACCCTCGAGCACACTCGTGCACAGGCACACGCATGCAGCTGAACATAGCACAAACTTCTACCACTCTTCCTGTCCGCTGCCTGTCTCCCCTCACCTTGCACGTTGGGGTCGTCCAGGTGTGGCTGCAGGCTGTCCAGCACCTTCTGGATCTGGGTGCTGGTGGCGTGCCCCTGGGGTCCCCAACCAACACCCCCCTGGGGTGTCCCCTCAGTCTGCAGCAGCTCCAGGTCCTGGCTGATGTCTGGGAGGGGTGGCCTCCAGTAGTTAAAGGAATTAAACGTGTCCTCAAACTCCCCATCTGGCCCCAGAGCAGCGGGGCAGTTGTGTGGTGAGCTGTTGCACTGGGCCACTGCAGAGGTGGCAGAAGCGGCCGGCGTGTCTGTGCTGCCTGCAGGGGGCAGCGCTGGAGCTGGGGTGGAGGCCGAGTCCCCAGCTGCCCGGCAGCCTCCTGCCTCACAGCAGCTCCTGTTTCCGTCTTTGCCAACTGTACCCTCCAGGGGGCGCTCACACCTGATGACACAGGAGGTACTGTAACTGAGCAATCCCGAGAGGACACTGTTAAGCTAAGCGGCTATGTGTCATAACAACAGAGTGGCCAGTAGAGGGTGTTACTGTTAACTATTTTTGGGACTTTTTTAATGTCCCAGGTGCAGGTTAATCATTTCTGTATTTAACTAGAGCCTGAAAAGAGCTGGGATTTTTGCTCCAGCTCTTTATATCCACCGGCCTCTGTACCTGTGGACAGGTGTGCCACCAGGGGGCGTGGCAGGTGGGGGGCACCTGGCGACGCCCTGCGGCAATCCGTGCTGGCGGAGCTCCAGCCCCCCACCGGACAGGCTGGCGAAGGTGGAGATGAAGCGGCCGAGAGACTGGAACGCCGCCTGTCGCACCTGCGGGAGAGAGGAGGGAGACAGCAGTGTGACAGGCAGCTCCTCCTGAAAGATGGCCTCAGTTACGCCAGCACTGCTCAGCTCCCATCACAATACAGTGTGTGAGCACACAGCGCAGCGCTCCCATCACAACAGTGTGTGAGCACACAGCGCAGCGCTCCCATCACAACAGTGTGTGAGCACACAGC